ATTGCACGCATACAGTGAACGAGAAAAGACAGCCTGCACGTTTAGCCTAGAAACGGGTGAATTCTAATTAATGGTAGTCCACATCGCAACCACTCTGAGGTTCAGAATATCCATTTGCTCTTCTTTAATGGACATGAACTTTAAGTTCTCTAAAGAAACTCGGTAAAATTGGCTTGTGTAAGCTCAGTATCTAAGGAATTCTAAATTAATTGTTGAAAGTGCTTACTGTGAAAACAGAGTGATTGCATGTTTAAATTCTTCGCTGTATTCAGATGTCTTCAGTAAACAGAGCTCATAAAATGTTTTGATATTTAGAGCTATAAGATTTAAATTTTTTAATTGTGCATTGGTTATAATACTAGTTTCTATGCAAATTTTGAAGTTTTTTTTAAGGAAAGGGCTATTTTTGGAAGTGTCACAATAAGAGAGTTTCATTGCAATTATGGGGAAAAGTCTGTATTAAAATAAATCATATTAGACGGCAAGGTCTTTTATCATGCTTAATCCAGCAATTCTGGGAAATGCAAATCAATTAGGGAAATTAAATCTCCAGTAGAAGCAGTAGCTCTCTCAGGTCATTATAACCTCTATAAAAATGACAGCATGTAACCAAGGAGTCCCCATGCTGCAGATTTATTATACTAAAGAAAGGGATTGGTGGGAAATTCAAGAGTTTCATCAGTTAATAATACAATTCAAGAAGAAAAGAAGAAGAAATAATTATGAGTAAATCATGAACCCAGAAAGGAACCGTGTAATCAGATTCATAATGGGAAATTACATAATATAAAATGAGTGTCCCTGTTTCCTACAATGCATGGCTGTGAGCATGTCACTAAAGATTACATTTCATTGTATGGGTAAATTAATATTTCAGAACAAATTGCATCTTATTTTTCTTAGCTCTCTTTGTTTGTTTTATACTATATCTGTCATCTTCTTAAAAGTTAGGGTTTATGCCTGCTCCTCAGGATCTGTTGGTCACAGCCTCCTTCTGATGTGGAAGGTGGGCTTCTACAAAAAGTAAGGGCCTGTCTGGTGCCCACCTGGGTGGGCTGCACTGTCCTGGAAGAGGGGGGCATTTCTGGGTAGCACCTCCTTCGGGAAGGATCTGAAATGTGCTTGAATGTGTTCGACTTGTTCTCTCTTGGATCACCCAGTGTTTCTTGGTCACTCTCTGTGTCCCAGTGGATGCCATTTACTACACAGTGCTGGATAATCTCTGAAGGTAGAAAAAAAAAAGGCATTCACTGCCTTCAAGGGTCTAGAGCCTACTAGAGGTTCTCGTTCACTCTGTCCAAGCAAAAACACAGAAGGTACTGGACACAGGCAGGACTGGATAAAAAGCCTGGGAGCTCAGAAGGCCCTTCAGTTTGCAGTGAGGCACACAAGAAACAGTGATTCTTAAGAGTAAGTGGGATTTTCATGGAATGGGTAAAGAAAGCATATTCTGGGAAGGCACTCGGAGCAGGAGGCCCCAGCCATGTGCACGCCTTGATGACTAATCCATCGTGAACATCTACTCCTGCCTGGTCACCATGATTTGACAGGGATAGAGGACCAAACAGGATGCCTGCCTGAGCATGTCAGTAATTGCACTTGGGGTTGTAATCTCTTGAGCATCCTGTGCACAGCCCCAAATCTACCCTACCACACTCCATCACAGCATTTTGAGCTGAAATCTGCCATTGCCTTGGGACTGCCTCACTGTCTTTTAATACACTCTGGTGCCCTGTGAGCAGCGTTTCTAAGTGAGGATATGAGGTGAGGGGCCTGACTATTGTGCAGAATCCAATTCCTCTTCATCTTGTGACGTTGTATTTTTTGGAGCCACATGGCTGGTACTGAGAGGTTTGAGATGAGGAGAGCATTCCAGGTTATTGATGTATTAATCTCTCTGCTCTGGAAAGGGGAGGAACTGAAGTTGTCCTGATTCTTTTCCTGCTGTTTGCAGTTTATCCCTCTTTCTTAGCAGACAGTGCTTGATAATTGTCACAGGTCCTTTCCCGTGGTCAGGGAGGACAAGGAGAGGTTCTTCCAGGTTCCTGGTTAGTTAAAAGAAGCCTTGGGTAGAAGAATCAGGAGGGTAAGTAGAATCCCATTATCCCTACACGGATGGGCTTTGAGACAGTGACGGCCTGACAGCCATGCGGGGACCAAAGATGGATGACAAAGTTAGTTCTCTCGCCCTTTCTGCTGCCTGTGACTGACAGTGCTGCCCAGGCCGGTGATGACTCTGTCCCCACCCTTCCTTCTGTGTGCACTCACATCCTACTCCCTAGTCAGGGCCTGGTGAGTTGGTGAGCCAGTACATATCAGATTGAGGCTCTCAGGCCAGCAATCACAAGGCTGTCGCCTCCTAGCCTCAGTGCTCAGGGTAGCTGAGGAGACCAGGCAGGGCTGCTTGGGTTGGAGTGCTGTGGGCACAAGGGATGAGCACAGGCCTCTGGTGCTGTGTGTGCACTGATCGCACACAGCCCCCAGGGAAATTGGGCGTGGACAGAGGTAAGTTGCCTCCTGAGCCTCCTCATTTTAGTTCTGTCTTTGGGGGGGGGTGTCACTGCCTGTGCACACACAGAGTAAAATGCACATTCGGAATGGGTAGTGCCATGGAAATAGCTTGGATTGTCCCATCCTTGTAGAGAGATTGGTTGAACAGAAAGGAAGAAAATTGCTTTTTGTGTCAGGCCAGGGAAAGGGCTCCTGGTACCTGCTTTCCTGAACTCTGTTTTTCTGGAAGCAACACTTTAAAGCATAGAGGTTGACATTTAAAGTTTAAAGGGGAATAGTGCCTGAGTTATGAGTCAGCTACAACCTGAATGAGAAGGGCTTGTTCATTCACTGTGCTTGGGGATGTTGGTCTTCCCTGCCCACAAATTGGCAAACAAATAGCCTTGCAGATGAGGGTTCAAAGGTCCCCAAGTGTATAAATGTTGAAACAAATGAAGAAAGACACTTGCTTCTGGCTATTAAAGCAAGATGGGTTTCTAATGGTGAACAAGCACCTGCAAGACCTGGAAGAAAACCCCCTTAGGTGAACAGGTGAAATTCAGCATCTCCCACAGGTGTAGATTCCCTGGCCACTGGCCAAACAGGTAGGAGACACAGCGGGCACTGATTTATAGCAGCTGGGGCCGTAGGCGATGGGTAGATGGCTGCAGGTCCTCCCACCTCCTGCCTGTCTGCGGAGGCACAAAGGTAGCACTATCCTTGACTGGTGCCAAATGTGTTACAGAAGAGGAGGAGAGTCCCTCAAAGCCACAGTAGTACTGAAGCAAATGCAGAATCATAGAAAACAGGAATGTTAGAGCGTAAAGGGAACTTCGAGCTCTGTACCCATTGGAGTTTAGAATAAGAAGTAAAGTGACTTGCCCCAAATAAATCAGAGGCAGAACAAAGGTTAGAATCATTCATAGAGTCATACAATATTCGTGAATATCTTTGGAGCAGCAAAACAAAAACACCCTGGATCTGGGCTTGCTGACTCATAGACAGATGAGAGCTCTTCCCATCCTAAGGCCTCATACCTTAATCTCAGTCTGAAAGGCCTGTCTATCATCAGACTCAGACAGGTTAGGCCTATAGAGTCCAAGATTAAAAAAAAAACCCAAGCTCCCTCTCAGAATTGAAAGAAGACATTAAATCAAAAAAGGGGCAACAGAACTGGTTTGACTGATTCAACACAAGATGCAAGTACAATTTAGCATCTTTAAAGCTTATGGCTCTAGTGTTGACCTTTAGCCAAGCTAGCTATGTGGAATATAAACTTTTAAAAGTGGAAATGGGCTGTCCTACCTTTGCATATATCAAGTTTAGAGAGAAGCTGGGGAGTGGTAGACTGAGCCAGGTGTGGGAGGGTGAGGAGCAGAACAGGAAGCCAGTAAGAAAGAATGGTGGTGTCGGCAAGAAGAGAGGGATTTGTCTGCACATCAATAAGCTAGGCCAGGACTGAACTCGGGGCCCTCATTCTATCTCATAGAAGTCTACCCCTATTCAATTGGCACAGGATGAATTCCGTTTTGCTCAAAATGTGTCCATTTTCAGAAGATTCAGTTGTTTCTAGGAGAGAACAGTGAACGGAAGAACCATCTCATCTTGCCTACTAATGACTAGCTGGTGCTTAGAGAGCCTTGTCCTCTTGGCACTGTTAATATAACTAATCACTCTGTGAAATGTTTAGGGAGGGTGTAATTATTCCCATTTTAAGATGAGGCAACTGAAGTGCAGGGAGATTAATGGGCTTGCCTATCTCACAGAGCTAATCTACCAGAGAACCAGATCTGAGACCATTCTACCCTTCTAACACCAAGTTAGTCATTTTTCCTGCTATGCTATGTTCTCTTACCTGGGGAAGGAATCCAGGTTCAGTCTGCTTGGTGACAGATATACATCAAGAACATGTTGCCTGACTCTTAGATTTGAATATAGAAGAGAGCGTGCCGGGGGGGGGGGGCCCATTCCATGGTGACTGAATTTCCTCAGCTCATGAATTCATTTGAGTGATTCGGGAAGTATGGAGACTTCCCCAGGTTGTGTTCCAGTTTACTGGTTTAAGTTTTCTCCATCACAGAGTAATCATTAATGATGACAGTACAGATTTCCATATGGGAGAATCACCAAAGAAATAAGAAATAAATCAAAACAGAAGTTCATTAGTAGTTGGGTGTGTTGGTGCTCCCCAGTAATCCCATCACTGGGGAGGCTGAGGCAGGAAGATGGGTGAATTTGAGGCCTGCTTGAGCTATATAGCAAGACCCTGTCTAAAAAGAAAATAAAACAGAGCTTGCTAGGGGTTCTTGGTCCATTTAAACTCACTGGTTTCTGTTGAATCTGGGCCATTCTGTCCCTGCTTGGGTGGTCCCAGCACTGTGTGGGTTACAGAAGAAACACAGCAAGAGGTGGAGAACCCCAGCCATGCATTTCTGGGGGGACTGTGACCACCTGGGCTGTATGGATGCATGAGTGGCTGAACTTAACCTTCTCTTCCTCTGCCTTTCCAGAGCAGCGAACTTCAGAAACTTCACCTTCATCCAACTGAACGGAGAGTTTTCCCGGGGAAAGGGACTCGATGTCGGAGCCCGCTTCTGGACAGGAAGCAATGTCCTTCTGTTTTTCTGTGATGTGGACATCTACTTCACCTCTGAGTTCCTCAACACTTGCCGGTTAAACACACAGCCAGGTTTGGGCCGCCTGTTCTGCACCCTGTAGACGCCATTGGTTGCTCTTGTGCTCAGGAGTTCTTCTCTGCACAATCCCCTCAAGCCTCCTGCTTTGGAATCAGCCTCACTGGGCCCCAATAACAAAGAACACAGTCATCTGGTTTGATGTATCCTTGGGTGCTGCACAGCAGGACTGTCACACACCATAGTTCTGGGACTCTGCCCCAAGTTCATGTTTATAACCCCTGTAGGGGGTCAGACTTAGTGGACATCCACAGGAGGAAGTGTGGGGGAGAGGACATGGGGCCTAGAAAACCTGCTAAATTCCAAAAGGAGTAGCTAAGGGCAGTTAGCTAGAGAAGAAGGACTATGAGCAGACAGAACCTACAATACAAAAATTATTTCAGTGAACTTGACTCAGGCAGGACAGGTAATCAGCTGAGAATCACTGGCACAGCCATTCAGTTCTTAAAATATGGAAAGTTGTCCCATGAAAATTGGTAAAGAGCAGCTGGCCTAGACTCTCTTAATGTCTCTTACTGCCCAAAGTCACCCTGGCCTCCCTGGCAACTGTTGAGGCTGCCCCAGGAACCAGTATTGGAAGGGTTAATGTACGCAGGGAAGGGGCCCCAGGAGCCATCTTCCACCACTCTACCCACACCATTGGTGGACGCCAAGTCCCAGAACCACAGACTCTCATTACCTTGGATGTTATTCCCGCGTTAGGAGAACAGAAAGACTTGCAAAGTTTACGGTCTGGCTTACCTGGTGCTGCACGTCTAAGATCTGTTCTAAAATTGAATGAAGGGAAAAGGAAAAGTGGTGAAAATACCTGGGTGTTTCAGAGGCCTGAGTGTAAATGAACGAACCCCAAAGTATAGTGAATCTCTTGCTTTACATGAATATTTGCTTTTTGACTTGCAGGGAAGAAGGTGTTTTATCCAGTCCTCTTCAGCCAGTACAACCCTGGCATCATCTATGGCCATCAAGACGCAGTCCCTCCCCTGGAACAGCAGCTGGTGAGTAATTACCCACAGGTGTGGCTGTGTGACTCGGTTTCATGTCACTCATTACCAGGTGCACCTGACCGTAAGAAAAGGTGAGTGGAATCTACGGATTGATTCCCTCAGTAGTTTTTAAGTTTGGCAGGACGTTCTGGCCTTTGCTCCAAGTGCCTTGTGGATTAAAAGTGTTTGCAATATTTAAAAGTGGACAAAAAATAAGAACAGTACCTTACAAGAGAGTAATTTCACACCTTCACAGTTTTCTTCTAGGGTTGGGGAGAACGAGTATTATTGCATTTGGATAGAGAACATTTTCTCTTTATTATTACAAAATCCTGTCACGTAAGGAAGGTGAGATTTAGGTTCCCATTTGTCAGGAGAAAAACATGCCAGACAGGGTGGCTCACCCCAAGGCACCCAGAGCGCCATGGGAGCAAGGGTCAGTCCAGTTCCCTGTCCCCTGGTCCTTCTCATCACCTCACCATTCCCATACATCACTGTGCCTGCAGTGGCCCATTGCATCAGGTGAGTCACTGGCAAGGTGGCTTTCAAAGGAATAGTGGAGAGACTGCTTGTTAAGACGCTGGCTGCATAGGTGCTGGGTAGAGGAACCACACAGCACACTGAGGGTCTGTAATCTGAGATGTGTACTTCATGTTAGGTTAGTCCATTCAACTGAGAAGCAGCGCAGGCATCAGGAGGAGAAACCGGAGGAGCATCTCTGTACTACACCGGGCTCTGTGCCTTCCGATTACAGTAGTCTCTCCTTATCCACAGGGCATATGTTCCAAGACACCTAGGGGAAGGAAGCCTGAAATCATAAATTGTCCTAAACCCTACATAAGCTATGGTTTTTCCTATGTACACTTACCTATGATAAACATTAATTTATAAATTAGGCATAGTGAGAGATTAATGACAATGTCTAATTAAAATTAGGATGATTTTGTTGTTACGCTTTAATAAGCATTTCTTAAAACTTATGCCTTATTCATTTCTGGAATTGTCCATTTAATATTTTCAGATCCCTGCTGACCATGGTAACTGAAGCCATGGATAAGGGGGAATACTGTATTATTACCAGTGTGGGCAGAGAGAAGACCCTCATCCCAACCCACACTGGGTTCAGTTCTTTTCTGCAGAGAGATTGGCTGACTCCAGGGCTCTCTGTTCTTCCTTGCTTTGGTACATCTGCCTCCTGTTGAGGCAAAGCCATGGATCTGGTGTGTAAGCTGTAAACAGAAGACTTGATAGGACCAAGTGTCCCATGCCGCCGTTCAATAGGACAGAAATCAGGTTTCCTTTCCTTTGGAACTGGGGTTTAAACTCAGGGACCTGCACTTGTAGTTAGGAGCACTACCACGTGAGCCACACCCTCAGCGAGAGCAGTCAGATTTCCATTGCATTTCTGTGAATTTCTTTTGGGAGCTGACTGTGTTTAAGCCTCCAAAGTAGCAAAGCCTGTTCCTTCCAGTACCATCCATAACCTTTGCCCTCTGCCTCCCACCAACCTCTGGCAGCTAATGTGATGTTTTCCAGAATGGCACAGTCATGGGCATCTTTAGGTTGGGCAAGGTACACATCTCACACATGGCTTCTATGGGTGCAAGCCAGGGAGCACACGGGAAAGACAGTGCCCTTACCCGACAGAAGTTTTACATCACGGATGCAGTGTGTCTGCGGATGTGCTGTATCTGTAGCTGTGCTTTATACATTAAAACAAGAGTTTATACCCAAAGAACCAATCTTCATCTGTTTATAAGTGATATGTTCCCCATGGAGACAGAAACTTCTTCTTTCATTTCCTGAGAGTTTTAAACTTCTCCTAGGGCGTTAGGGGCAAAAAAGATACAACATTTATTTTCTTTCAATCAATCATAATAAAAGTTCCTTTGGCTTTAAATAAGGTACTGTTTTCCATTTGATACCAGATATGAATAATGTTTTTAGTTCAAACTCACAAGCACCATATTTGCTTGCAAGGAGTTCTTTTCATTTCACAATCTGAAGGATTTATCATTTTCTTGTTATTCCTGCAGAGAAGCAGGTAGGAAGGGAAGTTAGAGACAGCATATGTAAGCCGGTCTCCCAGACCCTCCAAGTCAGTGGTAGAAGCAGAAACAACTCAGGTTCCCTGCGGCCACCACTAGAGGCTCTGATTACTCTGCATTTATGAAGTTTACTTCTGAAAACACCTTTGACCTCTCCTAAAACACAGAAACTTGCTACTTCAGAGTTCAGAATTTGTGATTCTTTAGTCCAGTTAAACACAGTAATCTAAAGATTCCCCATCCTCAGAAGGAAAAAAAAAAAAAAGACATGTTCTTTAGTGGGTCAGCCACTTTTTAACCACTTGCTGCCTAGCCAGGGCTGGTCCAGGTGCTGGTGGAAGAGATTCTTGTACACAAGTGATTTGGGGGGACATTCAGCTCCCTCTCTTCATTTTTTAGAGGCAGAATGACTGACCCAAGATTGGACAGGTGGCCAGTGGCAGAGCTCACCCCCCAACCAGGATGTCCTTCCTCTAATGCACTAGAAATAGATTTGCTGGAGATTTAGATGAGAGCTGAAATGTAAAGAGAATGGCCCTGACAAAAATTCCAAAGGCGAACATCAAGCTACAGGAATTAATATAATGGAGACAGAATGTGTAGGTGGTGAGATGGCATGAAATAAAAAGTAATGACTGCAGATAGAGAAATTAGGAAGGACTTCCTCCTGAGGGTGCATTTTGGCTCAGTCTCCAAAGTGGTACTGCACGTACATTAAAAAATAGTTGATAGCCTTCCTTGAGACAAGGCAGTATCACAGGCAGGGGAGGGGACACACATCCAGACTGAAGCTCACTATAATAAACTTACTTACTTATGCAAACAAGAGACAGCCTTTCCCAGCAGCCCTGCAAACACAACATCGTTCATCAATGTGTCACTTACCACTTTTCAGGGCAGTTGCCACTGTCATTTTATATTTTTGCCAGTAGATAAAAGTAAGGAAGCAAATTTATGATTTCATGTGTGTTCAACTACTTGTTTCTTTACCTTTGCACACAGACCATTAGTAATAAGGGAAGTTAAGGGATTTTTACCTTTGCACACAGACCATTAGTAATAAGGGAAGTTAAGGGATTTTGTACTAATATTTAATCTTTTGAGTTTTAAGCCATGAGATGAAATTTGCTGATGCCTTCATGTAGAAACAGCACACTGAGAAAGAAATGACTATAATTTAAATAAATGTTCACTTTAGACATTCCACTTGCCTGGCTCAGGCTTTGTCAGTTCTTGCTCAGGTTCCTGCAGGAGCCTCCTACCTCTTCTATCTTTAGGTTCCAACCCTCCCCAACACTCCAGTCTTCCTTTCACCCTTTGCCAGAGATATGTTTCCAAAACACGGATTAATTCCATTTTTAAAAAATCTTTTATGTCATAAAGCCAGTGCTGTGCTGGTAAATGTTTAGTAACCCACTCGCTGAAAGGGAAAGAAAAAGAAAAAAAAAGTCCTGATTGATAGGATTTGCCAATTTCCATGGTGTAAATACTCCCACTGTGGCCTGTTTCAGGCCACCAGTGTGACGTCACTGAACACATAGCTTGGAAGAGACTTGTAGCAACCTTGTGAGCTGGGGTTAACTGGCTCCAGCACAGTACTGCAAGCCCTGATTCCTGGTTGGATTCATGGCCCTTCAGAAAACAGCTCAACCTGGTTACAGAGAACCCAAGCCAGCCCCACTGCTATGTCACACACCTGCTCACAGTCTCCTTGGGCTGTCCTTCCCCCTCAGGGCCACCTTCTCACCATTTCTAATGCCCTCGGTGTCTAGTGCAGGCATCTCTGTCTGCATGTACTACACCATCGTTTAAACCTGATGCCTTGGTACCACACTGCTGTGTGCGTGAGTCTGCTGGCTCCTGTGCGCAACATCTCTCAGCACATCTTTTCCCTTTACCTCCTTTAAATCATTTCTCCCCACTCACCTGTGTTTCCAACATTGCCTCTGAGCAGAGTACAGCAAGCACACCCTGGCAGTCTGGTTTTGCTTATTTGGGACTCATTCACTCACCAATTAACACAAATGATGCTGAAAGATGCTCATTTATAAGCCTGCACCACTGTGTCCACCTCCCCTCACGTGTAATGCTCAAAAAGGTGAGTGATATCCTTACTCTCAATCACAGATGGGGAATTTTAGGTTCAGAGCGCCTCAGTCACTTACTCAGGCTTCCACAGCAGCCGAGTGGCAGAGGTTGGACCTCAGGTGCCGTATTGTGAGCTTGAGTCTGGGCGAGATGTGGAGCATCCTTTGGCCTCAGAAGGCTTTAAGAACGGCCAAAAGTCTAGACCCTGGAAGTGACAGAATGTGGTGCTTCCTTGACCGGGATGATACTCTTAGGAGACACAGTCATTTTAAATTCAGGTAACAAGAAAAGAAGACCGTGGGAGAACATGAGATCCAGGAGGAGCTGGCATTTGAGTCCATTTTTGAATGATTTCTGGGAGTGCCATGGCTCCAAAATACCTTACTTGTCAAGAAATGCACCAAGAATTGCTAGGGGTCCTCTGGGCTCAGCTGCAGCAGGCCAAGTGAATTTAGGAAGTCGTTCTACCTCCATTCTACGAGGCCACCAGAAGAAGACATTCAGCCTCCTGGAATCCCACTTACTGAGACTTCAGTGTCCACATAATAAGGAATGTACAGTGCAGGGTCAGGAGGAGCCTAATGCAGACCCAGAATCCACCAGAGCTCAGGGTGCTCATGGGACAGAATCTGCTACCTAAGAGGAATGTCCCAGAGCTAAACAAAAACGCAGAACCTTGTTCCAACAGTATTAAGAATTTTAAGATGGTGCCAGCGAGCATGGGGCCTTCTAAGTGTGGGACCCTGCGTGCATGTGGGGGTCCACATGCCCGTGAACTGGTCCAATACACAGGCATTTTTAGTGAATGCAAGACAGGTCAGACCCAGCCTCGGTTCTTGGGAAATTCTCTGATTTAAAGGAGCTCCTCTGCCTGAGTATTTGCTATTTATTTTATTTCAGGGTCCAGATTGCTTCACGGGCAGCTGTCCAAGTCAGCACCATTAAACTAGACAGGCGCTGCCTGCCTCCCCAGCTCCCTGCACAGCTGCAGGGCGCCCGCCTTCCCACAGCTCCGGGGGGAGGTGCTGATTTGTGCTTTGTGTTTTGGTCCTAATAGAAAACAATCACCCCCATCACGTGAATCGCCCACAGAGCTGTGGCTCTGGAAACTTCCTGTGGGAGAGCTGGCCTGACAACTGTCCTTTTGTGTGTATTCAGCCCCACAGGGCTCTGCCAGCTCCACCGTGGAGCAGGCAAGGTGTTGCAAAGAGAGTGGTCAGGAGGCCAGCTTCAAAAGACATTCTTTTAAATGAAGATATGGAGCTTGAAGAAATTTGGGAGAGGAGCAAAGGATGTTTTCCTTTTCAAGTTTAATCTCCGTGTTAGGGCGCCCATCTCCTGTGTAGTAGCAGACACCATTGGTGCTTATTATACTTTAATGCTTGAACAGAGCAGTGGAGTTCCTATGCCCAAGGCAGTGTTTCTAAGAAGTCAGACCTCTGCCTTAGCCCAGGAAAGTGAAGATATGTCTTATCTATTAGTCTACAGCCACACAATTTTGAGTCTTCACTGGACCTCCTAGGCTTCTGTCAAACCGCTTGTGGACAAGTTTCTCCCACTTGAAGGGTGTCTGCTTCCACTATGGGATCCATCTGTAGCTGTGAATGAGACCAGAGCTCTTAGCCGATGTTCCCCAGGGATACTGGGTGAAGACAGCAAACATCCCCCAGTAATGTTTCAGAGAGCTATGCATGTTAAAGAGAAGATAAACCCGGGTGATGGTGTAGAGAGGGTCATGGAGGGTGACGGGTGTGCTGACACTGGCCAGGAGGTTAGGGCGACCACACTGAGCCAGTAACATTGGAGCAGAGCTCAGTGGTGAGCAAGGAAGGGTAACTAGGTGAGAACGACAGGGGAGCAGGAAACAGGGCTGTGTAGAGCAGAGAAAATGGGGGAAATGAGGAGGGTGAGGTAGGCAGGGCTAGGTCAAGGTCCATCCTTGTTCACTCCCCCCCATGACTCTTGTAGAGTCATCAGTGGTCACAAGATGCCATCTGACGAGAGCTACAGATACTCACTTCTGCCAGCCTGCTTATTGAGGGCACTGTTCCAGTTGGCAATGCAGCCAGCTGTGGTGGTGGAAGCTCTAATAAGTGAACTCTATCTTGCCCTGGAATTATACGCTGCGGCACAACAAAGTTGGTTTCCATAAAGGGCTACGTTTCAATGAGCTCTTCCCAGATTGCCTTTCTGTGACTGGCCAGTTTTAAAACCCACTTAATAACTGTTTCTATAGCTCACTCTCTATGTCATAAGTCAGCAGTTGTCTCTGTCGCACCTTCCCCAGGTGAGGGTTACGGTGCACAGTGTTCAACCATGTCAGACACTACACGCACTTAGACCCAGGTCTTGGGACAGTCGTGTCCAGGGAGCCATCTCGTGCTTCTCTGCAAGTACTGGCTGCTTGTTCTTCCTGTTTGGAACTTTCTCCTTTAAATTCCGTGTATAACTCAGCCAAATAGTGGAAGTTCGAATATCAGCACTTCAAACTCTGTTTCTATCCAGAGCTTAGAGGCCTTGTGTGCATCCTGGCCAGCAGAAGGGATATTAAGCCATTAGCTGCCACAGAAACGGCATACCTAAGATGACAGGGATAGAACAAAATCCGTCTTTTAAAAAGAGTCTCCGCGGAGATTTTTGCACACTTTCCCACCTGGCACAATCTTTCCAGCTGATACTAAAGAAGTGGCTTTATCGTCTAGAGGATGCAGCACAGCACTTTGTCCTAAGGTGATGTTGGGGCACATTTGTTGGGGCAGTGTTTCCCCACAAAACCTCGCAGGCCATCCTGATGTGTATTGACAGTAGTGTAGGTGACACCTACTTGTAAGTTGCAGTGAAAATAAGACAGTTGCATAGGTTCCCGAGTAAAATAGGATTTTTAAGATTCATGAACCTCCTGCAAGCCATTTTACCAAATATAATTTAGGCTGTGGGAAGCTTCCAGAAGGTAGAGTAAAAGTGATACAACTAATGTTTGGGTGTTAGAGCTGGAAGGATCTTTGGGGATTGTTTAGCTGTCTCCCTCATCTTAAGGGAAAGAAAATAGAAGTTTGAAGAAATGAGGCTCACCTGGGGTAAAAAAAGCCCACCAGTGGTCAAGTTGGGGCAAGATTCCTCCCCGCCTCACGAATTGTTTCAAATTAGCATCCAACAGAGCCAGATGTCCCCATATGGGGACCTACTACAGCCCCCTCCCTTCTCCTGTCTACAGGAGGGGCTTCCTTTCCTCTAAGCACCTGTGTGAACCGCTAGAATAAATCTTGAAAAAAATAACTGTTAAGATCTCAAAACCATTTCCAAAATGACCTTTGCCAAAAAAATATAAATAAAATTTTCGAAATGTTTTGTTACCTCAGCAAATGTATTGGAAATTTACTTGCAGAGGAACAGAAGGCAGAGCCAGGTCCCTTGTTTTATAGGCAGTCACTGCTTGGATGGCCTCTCGACCGCCCTGTAGGCTGGCACCTCTCTCTGCGTACACTCTCTGAAGCAGCCTGGCTCTAAAATAGTGTCGAGATGAAAGGCAGAGTCTTTCTTCAAAACCTGGCCTCCAAGTGCCCTTTACCTCAGCAAGCGAGATGTAGCAGAGCCAGAGAGCTGGGAACAACTGAGGTCTCGCTGGTATTTCTTTTTATTCCCTGAGGGAGCCCTGCTGGGGGGCTGTGCCAAGGCTGCTGAATTCTGAGTTGTTCTCTATCCCTTTTCTCAACTTCCTGAGTCCTTCGCTGGCTCCTCGCCCAGGCCTGTGTGAGGGGCCCAGGCCTCAACTTCTCTCTGGCACTGGGATGAGGCCAGACACGTAGGTGGCTTTTCCATGGCACCACTCAAAAACTTGCTCTCCCAGTTTGTTTTGTGTGTATGTGTGTGTGTGTGTGTGTGTGTGTGTGTGTGTGTTTTCATGCCTACACCCTAGAAAAATTCCAGCCAGAGGTGCCAAAAATCACAAGGCTCCATTCTGGGACTGGTGAGTACACCATATTCCTGTCTGTAAGGCCTCAGGTCCATCAGTAAGGCCTCAGGTCTGTTTGAGTGTCCCTCACAGGACTGGGACTGTTGATCAGTGCTAGGGGAGGTGGCTTGTCATTCACCTGAATGTGGGAATGCTCTGGTTTATGTCCCTGTCTGACACTCCTCTCCTTGCAGGTCATAAAGAAGGAGACTGGGTTTTGGAGGGACTTCGGATTTGGTATGACTTGTCAGTATCGGTCAGACTTCATCAACATAGGTGAGACAAAGCTGCATCTCTACTGCCACCCAGAGGCCACTGTTGTGCAGGACTTGAGTGAATCCCGCAGGTGTCCCGGGAGTGAGTGGGAAAGGTGGTGCCATTTCCCTAAGAAGTACCACTCATGTCACAGACCGGGCTAGACCAAAGGGGCTTGGAAGTGGGCGGTGCTCCAGTGCCTATGAGCTCCACCAGACGTCTCAGTGTGGCACAAAGGCGAGTTCTGCGGAGCTTCCTGCCTCCTTCCACCTCCCACATCCCACACGGGTTCTAGCTGCTGGGCCTCTCATGGGGCCATCCTGAGTCTCCAGGAAGAATGTTAAGTGGGGAATCTGGGAAAGCATATCCCAGAGAAGGTCAAGTTCCTCTCTGCTAAACCTTTCAAGGTTCAGATGAACTCCAAGCCCTGACTGTCTGTGGAGTTACTGTCAATACAGGCACACATCCATGCACACACACATACACAGACACAGACATATCCACACAGACTGACACACAAACACACAAGACACATAAATATATGCACATACATATATACATAGACATGCACATATACACACATAAACAAAAACACATACCCAGACACACACGTATACACACAGACGTATACATACAGAAATACACAGACATCATTAACACATGTATATACACAGACACACATATTACATACACTTACAAACATGCACACACACATCTACAATAGACACATGCACACACAAACACATCTACACATAGACACATGCACACACATACACAGACACAGGAACACACTTATAAACACAGATACACTCACACACATGCATACAGACATGCACACATATACACAGACATGCACATATACACTTATGCACACAAACACATACACAGACACATAGGCACATGTGCACATATGGACATACATGCTCACAGATGCACATATACAGGTAGAACATACGCATACATGTATTCACACACACACATGCACACATACGTAGACCTACAAGTTTCCAGAGCAGAGAAAGGAAAGGCCAAGAGGTCTCAGCAGAGCAGACCAAGACTGTCAGAGGGAGAAGGACCTCCCAGGCCTCCCAGCAAGTGAAGGATGCAGTTGGGATGAGGCAGAGGGTCTCCTGTTCCTGTGAAAACAACTCACCACAACCTCCCCTTCAGCAGGGAGCAGTATATGTGTTACACATGACTAAGAAGAAGCAGGCCAGAAACCTTCACCTGGGTGAAGAGGCCAGGGTGCCCTCAGGATAACCAAGTCACCCCTCCCCAGACTTCCCAGTAACTTGGTCCTGCTGCCTCTTGTCTCCTCCCCTCAGGCTCAGGCCTGAAGCTTCTTGTTTTGAAATCAGGTAGGAGCAGCTCCAGGTACATTTTTTTCAGAGATCATAGAAATCACCAGGTTAAAAAGAAAAAAAACGAAACAACCTGGCGTCAAGTTTTAAGAGGCAGCAGAGCACCAGGGCTCAGGTGTCTGACAGCTGAACAACAGGTGTTCTTTGATGTCTCTATGGGGAATATTCCTAAATGATGATGTTAAAATTAGATTCCCAAAATAGCATTTAAAATTTTTTTCTAAAGATTCCCATTTCGAGAGACACTTGTTACCTTGCTCTTTGTACAGAGGAAGGTGATGTATGATGATGCATACATTTATCAAATTTGGATTCACGCTAAATTGGATTCTCCTAAGGGTGGATGTCACCATACTTGACAAAAGGGAGCAAAGCAGGCTGGGGAGTGTGCTTTTCCTCAGGAAGCCACCACCATTGATACAGGATGTTATAGGCCCCAAATCCTGGGTTTCATAGATCAGGTCTGGTCACTTGCCCCAACACACCAACACATGGTGAAGGGCATGCCAAAGACAGACAGCATTTCATCCAGTCTTCAGCCATCTTCCCCAGATAGGAAGGAGGAAGAATTGGGGGCAGGAGGAAAGATGTGCCTATTATTAAACAGTCCCAATCGCAGATGTGCTTCAGTGGTCAGGGGTGGCAAACTAGCAGCTCACTGTATTCGGACTAGTTAGATGGCACCTTGCCACAATGAGTCATTGACACCTGCAGATGGTCTGTCTCTTGTCCTGTCCTTCCTGGATTCCAAGATGGCTGAAAAGTGACTGCAGGAGAGAATGGCTCACAGGACTTGGATTTACAACTGAGGCTGGGATGCATATCTTTTATCCTGCCTTTAGTTAATTTGTGGGCCCAACTAAGGAGTCAGTGCTTCTCAGCAAAAGCAGCATTTAAGCACCTGTTACACCATGACCTCAGAGCCTCTGGGTCCCCCTGGACTCCTTTCTTTGCAATGTGTCTTTGCAAGTGTCTTACTTGTGTACCTTGTACTTAATAAGTGATCATGATAATGGTAATAAATCCCTTGTAGTTATCCAAGCACAGCCCCTTACATTAGCAGCTTATTTGGTTATGATACCTACTTCATTTAAGGATTAAAAAACACCCTAAAATTCAACTGGGTATAATGGTACACACTCAGGACCTGAGGTAGAAGGATCATGAGTGCAAAGCCAGCCTGGGCTACAGAATCAGACCCTGTCTCAAAAAAATCTAAGAAAATAAAAACTAAACTAAGACCAAAATTCGATAGGTTAAGGGGCAGTTTTTCTAAGAAAACCAGGTTACAAATTCTCTCCCACAGACTCCTAATCCTTCTCATAGCCTTCCCTGAACTCAATACCATGGTCACCCATGAGTTCAGGCAGGAGGGTTGGTTGGTTGTGGTTTCAGGTGCCTGAGCACCCCTTCAGGTTCCAGCCACGGCCCTGATAACAACAGTGTAGCTAGTGGGGCACTAGTAGGGCACAGAGAACAGAGACTGCATGGGAACGGTGGCAAAAGGATGTCAAGTATCGCTCCACTGTTTTTTGTAAGAGTTGAGCAAGGCTCCCGGGTGAGAAAGGGACAGTGACAAAAAGGCCAGTGCTTCTTTGGTTCAGTTTGGGACCCAGTGGGCTTTAGGTTAAGAGAGGGGCATCTTGGTTTGCAGAGGTGAGACTTCAGCAGACTGTAACTGACTTCACCAAGTTTACTAGGCAGTGAAACAAGATTTGCTTGGAATAAACCTTCTGACTGCAAGACGGTCCCTCTACAACAGCCTCGCCAGCACAGCTTTCACCTGTGGTGAAATCACAGCATGGCCTTTCAGAGCTGCTTGGGTCTCTAAAAGGAAGTAGGCTTTTGTCAGCGTGATTTTTCCATGCTGAAATCCCCTTTCCCACCTTCACCCTGCTTGCATGTCTGCTTGCAATGGCAGGAGAAAGCCACATCCAGACAGATACACAAGAATTAGCATTGGGAAGTCTCAAGTTCAACAGTAAGGATCTTCTCAGAATAGGGCTGTCCATTAGCACTGTGAATGGCTCTTCCAAGCAGGCAAATACTTGGAATCCGGTCAAGGTCTTTTTATGACAAGGGGTAGTGCTGTTTTGCCATAAGATCATCCCATTGGCCATGCCTGTCCGGGGCCTGTGACTCAGGTGGACATTCCAGTAACTTGGGAAGATGGTGAGGCATCCTAGTAACAGTTCTTGTAAAGTTCTGTGCTCATGCAGCTCAGAGAAGCCAAGAGAGACCAGGAGCTGCCTGCGGGTGTAGCCCAATTCAGCAGTGTGTTCCTTCCTGGCAGGTGGGTTTGACTTGGACATCAAAGGCTGGGGTGGAGAGGACGTGCACCTGTACCGCAAGTATCTCCACAGCAACCTCGTAGTGGTGCGGACGCCTGTGCGGGGACTTTTCCACCTCTGGCACGAGAAACGCTGTCTGGACGAGCTGACTGCAGAGCAGTATAAGATGTGCATGCAATCCAAGGCCATGAATGAGGCATCCCACGGGCAGCTGGGAATGCTGGTCTTCCGGCACGAGATAGAGGCTCACCTTCGCAAGCAGAAACAGAAGACAAGCAGCAAGAAAACATGAACGCCCAGGGATGAATCTGGGGAGCCATTTCATGTTTTTAAACTTCTGCAATTACTGCAAAAGTGGTTGCAACGAGAAACAGATTTCCATAAAGGACAGAAGAGGAATCTGACTGATTAAAAGAGACCAGAGAGAGCCTCCAGTTTCTCTGTGTTTGGCTTTTTGCAATGGGAATGAAAAGCTCCACGTGGCTTACAAATGTGGTCCAGATGAACCCCAAGAAGTGTCTGACAAAGGCAGGATGACTGGGAGGTGACAGACCTAATAGTGTGGAGGTTTTGATTGTGTTTACAACAAAATGAGATCTGTTGTTTATGGTCACTGAAGAATTCGTGAATTAAGACCAGTTTTATAAAAAGTTCATCAGCACGAAAGGCGAGTACATTTCTGTTCCTCTGAATGATTGTGTCAGTAGAGAGCTAAGCCTCCAGAAGTGCTAAAATATCAGAGGACAACAGAGGAGGCCTGTGAACACAGAGCTGTACTGTCATGACCCTCATGAGAATTGTAAGCAAAATCAAACAGACTGAAAACAAACCGTAAATATTGTGTCATTTCCCCCCAAATTAATGCAAAGTAATCTTCTCACCTTTTTGGTTGTCTTTTTAACCACCTCCATTTGTTTATTTTTAAGATGCACTTTTTTTTGTTTGAGCGTTATATTCTGCTTAATTACCAATCTGCAAGTCTTACTAAGAGAACACAAGATAGCATATGCATTTTTATGTTTGGGGGGAAGATACTTTTAGATGCATTATGAGAACTTCCAGTTCAGAGCATCTGATTGATAGCATGTCTAAGGACTTGCGAAATTCAGACCTGTTAAGCACTGAATGTCAGTCCTTGAGCCTAGGGAAGGCTTGGCTGGGGCCATTAAGAGAATAGGCACATAGATACTTTATCCGAAGAGTGTGTCCAAAGAGGAGCAAGCAAACACTGGAGGAAAAGGAAAAGACAGTTTCACCTGAACAGAAAAGGAAACGCACCAAGACCGATGACATCTTGATGAGTTTAAAGTCAGAGAACATCTTTTCTCTTCAGAAGAAGTGGAGACAACTTTCTTACCTGTTTAAATAAACCAAAGTTATGAACCAAACAATCTGTTTTCAAAGCAGGGTGCTCTTCTGGTGTCTGGCTTCATAAAAAAGAAATGCAGAAAAATATATTTTGTGAAAGATCAATCCATCTGCCAGAATCCAGTGAGATGGATGTTTTTCTACATGTTCACTCACCCCAGGCTAGGCGGAAATAACTTAATTATTTTTAAAATTTGGCAGTTCTATTCAGTCACCAAGTTGCTTCTGAAAAGTGCATTTTGTTACTGTTTCAAACTATTTTTTAAAAATAAACACAGTTAACATTGAGTCATTTCTACATCCATGTCAGAATTATTTATTTATTACCAGCACCAGATGCATGAGTTAATTATCTCTCTGATTCCTTGCCTACTGTTGGCCCACAGTAAACTCATTGTTTAAAAACTTCAAGAACATTCAAGCTGTTGGTGTATAAAAAAAAAAAAGCATTGTATTGATTTGTACTGTAGTTCATAAAATTTAATTAAAACACAAGACATGAATGGAGGGTGGTATTGCACAGCTAATAAAATATGATTTGTGGGTTTGATTTCTTCTTGGAGTAAGAATGCTGTGTCTTTAGTTTTTTTTAGAAACATTATTTTATGCATAGATCAGGGCTTCTCAACCTTGGCGCTACTAACATTGTAGACTAGATCATTCTCTGCTGGGGAGGCATTGGCCCCATACACTGCGCCATAACTCCGTGCATCCCTACCTGCCTTTACCCACTAAAGGCCAGGAGCATCCCCCACTCAGTTTTGACAAGCAGAGTATCTCCAGTCCTTGCTAAATGTCCCCTGGTGGAAGATGGGCATCACCGCTGGTTGAGAGCCACTGGGCTACAGGGAGAAGAGGACCATAATGAAAAACTTGAGTGGATTATACATTTTACTTTCTCTTTTTAGAGGAAATTGAGAAATTATTTCTAAGACCCCTTTCTACGTGTGCTTACTATCTTCACATTCTGTGCTGATTCTAGAGGCTTCAGGGCACATGTCTGGCCTATCCTGACAGTGGTCCTGATGGATTGGTGACTGACCTGCATACTCCTGTCCATATTCTCCCAAGGTCTGAAAGATGTATTACAACAAGACTGATGGTGGAGATCAAGTATTTTAACCATAGAATGAGGCAGGTCTAAAAGTATCTATGGTCGCAGGTTATGTGACCTACTCTGTCACCTACTTTGTGAGCTAATCAGATATCTATACGTGTTTACACAGCATTTCCCAAATGTCCAGAACAATGGATAAGAGTTGGTTTTAACATTAGAGAAGGTAGTTGAAAAGGAGAGAAAACAACACCTACAATTATTTCTTGCTTTTTTTTTTTTAAGTTTCAGTTAGCCAGGTATTATGGTTTGAATTGGAAATGTCCTTTAAAGGCTGATGTGCTAAAGAATTGGGTGCGAGCTAATGAGTTTTGGGGAAGATTGGGTCCTGGGAACTGTGACCTCATCAGTGGATAATCCCTTCACACATTCATAATTTGATGGTTTTATTAGGAGGTGGTGGAAAACTAGGAAGGAGGGGCCAATTGGGAGAAAGCATGTCACTGGGGTACGCCCTGGAAAAATATATGTGGCCCCAGACTCTTCCTGGCTGTTTTGTCTTTCTGTCCACTATGCAGTGAACAGCTCTACTCCATCATGAGGCTCTGCCTCACCCCAGGCCCAGAAACAACAGAGCCAAGTGGCCACAGGCTGAAACCTCTGAAACCATGAGCCAAAATAAATCTTTCCTCCTTTAAATTGTTGCTTTCAATTATTTGTCACAGCGATGAAAAACTAACCAGGTAACCTCTTTATCAAAGGGCAAGGGTCCTCTTAAAGCAAAACCAAGAGATCTATTCCCATTGTTTGCCCATGGGTTATATAAAAGAAGATTAGAGGAAGCCCTACTGAAGCCTAAGTAGGGGGCTGGAATTTGAACAGCAAAGGAAAGCTGTACTGAAACCATGATTTGAATGATCTGGTTCGTTACATCTTCCAAAGGAAGGATACTGCCAATGAGTCTTGGGCCCATTACAACTCTGCATATTCCCTGCTCCCTATAACTTCCTAGCCACCAGCCTCGCCATCTTACTGAGCTTAGGTCTCTAGTTCACTTGGGCTCTCCTCCAGGCAATGGTATGGATACAGCTGTGTGCGTGGAAATTAGCAACTCTTTCCCCGAACTCCTCCCCTGATGGTGACAGGTTGGTATCTTGAAATCAGTTATGGTAGGAATATTTACACCGTGGCAATTGGCAAATAATACAAACCACCCCTCCCCATCCTCTACCCACCACCTTTCCCCCAGCCTTTTGCTAAATATTTACTGATATCACTGCCTCCAAATGACATACCTGGCTCCTTTGTGCTGAATTTTCCTCCAATCTTTTGTTTTCCAACTCCACTTTGTACTCATGTGCGTCTCTTTCCACATATCAGTGATAAACAGTGAATTAGAACTAGGAAACTAGCTATCCAGAACCTAATTTTATTCCTTTTTAAATCTAATCTTACCAGTGTTCCATAAAGTGTAGTAGCTAGTATCTTGGCTTCTCCATCTAAGCAACCAGGATTCAGACAAGATTGGGTACATTCAGGGTGATATGGAATTTGAATCCTGATTCAGATTATTTCACTTGCAATTTACATGATCTTAAATGAGTAGCTCAATGTTTCTGTACCTTAGTTTCCTCATTCAGGGGATTAATGCAATCATATCTGTATCATTTGATAAGTCGGTATGGATAAAGTACTTAGAACCTGACAGATGCACAGCAGGTGTTAGTATTCAACACACAACCCCTCCTTTACAATTGTGTTTCTGGCAAATGTCTATTGAGCTTCCTAGTGTGCCCAGCACTCCCTGAATGTAATCAGAGGGCTATTATAGGCCAGGAATTAAAGATTATGAAACCATCATGGACAGTGATGTCCTTTGGTTTTGCCATTCTGAAAACTGTATCTATGTAAAGGAGAAGAGTTACTAAGAGTATAATTTTAATGGATAGTTACTACCTTAAATTCAATGCACAGTAATTTGGGGTTGCTCATAGCAGCAGCCTTCTAAGGAAAGCAGTACCATTGCTTCCATTTTCTAGGTGCAGAAAGTTGAGGCTCAGAACTGTTAAGGAATTTACTCAGGGTGCTAGTCAAAAACTAGCTGGCTCTAGGGCTCTGTGTGGTCATCCTGTCACATGATTGGCTGTAGTAGTTGAGCCTGAAGGTTTGCAGGAAAGAGCTCTGACTGGGCCAAGTCCAGAGCCTGTCTTCTGTGCCTTGTTTTACCCTTTCCCTGCTTCCCAACCCCACCTGAGAAACCAGAGAGGAAATGAAACCAGTTAATACAGCAATCCAGGAATGGCTCAGGAGCTCAGCCCCTCTTCCTCCCTCCGGCCTGTGTCTGTTTAACAGTGGTGTAAGGCTCCATTGGGATGGAAGCCCAAGATCTAGCTCTCATGCAGGATTCCAAGACGTGAAGTGTAAAGACTATCTTGATTAGGAGGGGAGAGCAGGTGGGAATCCCTTCGTTTAAAAAGGACTTGATACTGCTGCTGAGAGTGGCTGGTTGGAGAAACTGACCTTGGGCTGCTCCTTAGGAAGATCAGTGTGTTTTATTCCCAACACACATCAAATACCTGGCAGCTTTGGGTGATCCATATTCTGATTAACTTCATATTTTAATTCAAAGCTATTTCTCCTGGCAGGGCTCAGGGCTTTGCTGTTGCTGCCAACATTATGGGGACAGTGCCAACTGATTGGGGGTTTGGGTGGTGGTTTTTCCCAACACGGAGAATATGTTCTTTCCTGTCTGCAGAGGTGCCTTTCAAAATGTCTCTGTGTTACTGAGCCTGTGAACATGCACACTGAAGAAGTCAACCCCCAGCGTCCCTTGGGCTGTGTCTGTTAGCAAGTCTACGAAGAAGGCTGACAGACCGTAGGGAAGGACAAGGGAGGATGGCTGTGGGCAAGGTCACTGTCTGCAAGAGCAGGATATGGCACTGGGGAGAGACACCAGGCTGCGCTTCTGCCTGCACAGTCACAGGAGATTCGGAGAGGGCCAGGCCACCTATGGGCAGCCTCTGCCAGGACTCACCAAATCCCCCAAGGCCTGGCATGGGTTATTGGGTTACCTGGATTTATCCTCATTACAACCTGAGAATCAGACATCTTAGCCTGCAATGAGGTAAGTATAGGATGCCACCAACTCCCTCTGTCCCATCCTAGGTCCCCACAGCTTCTAATCCCATCACCAATCCCACCCTCCAACGTGTTTTAAACTGACAATAAGCAACAGCCCGCTAGGATGTTAAAGCCCATTGAAAAGAATTTTAAATATCAAACAAAAATAAACTAAATGAAACCAACAAAAAATCCAAATTAAATTCAAACAAAGGCCAAAGGAAATTTTTATTTAACAATTTGTTCTTTCTTCCAGTTACTAGCCTCAAACAGAGCCATGTAAAGATCACACCCATCGGGTGTGGGGCTGGCAGGAATAGTAAGAGGGGCTGGATGGGAAGATTTTTTTCTAGCATTCTGCCACACCATTGAAAGAACGCCTCTGAAAGAGGGCATTCACCATTTCGTTTGGTTCTTGAGACACAGCACTGTGGGAGTTACTGCCCTCCTGACTCAGTCAATGGGAAGACTTCATACAGGAACAGCCTTTCAACTGAGGAAAAGCCAAGGCTGATTTAGATGGACAAGAGTGATGGGACCTTGCCCCCTCACTAGCCTGTAGGCTTAGACCTGACTCTGCTGGATCTATTGGGAGACAGGCAGAGTAAATCCCAAAATTGTAAATCTTCTACTCAAAAAGAGAAGTAATTACTTAAAGATTTGTGATCACAGATCCATAGGCAATCAAGTCAGCAATTGGTAGTAAAAGCTGGTTACTGCTACCTTGGGGCTATCAGTCAAAATCATTAGAAAATGCCCACTTCAGATCCAAAGGAAGTAAGCCATTTATCTGCAGACCAACTAGCTAATGTATTGCACGGGTTGTCATAGTATCCTCTACTCTTTAAAAGTTTCCCTTTCCCTCTTAAAATAATCCCAGAAATGGGCCACTCTCTCAGTGGTTACACAAACTGAGTTAATAAAGGAGAAGCCTGGAATGTATGGGGGCTGGCTTTGTTGGACCCAAGATTCACGGGGAAATTATTATCATTTGTAAAGAGCTTTCTCTATGCTACGCACTTAAGGTACTTCTTTTCAAATCCCAAGTGACTTTAGTAACTCCTGTTTGAGAGATGCAGATGAAGCTCAGACATGCTTAGTATATTTTTTTTCTTTCAAGAGGCTACAAGGGGAGATGGACCACAGTGTGACTCAGTGCTTGGCTAGCATTCATGAGGCCATGGGCTCAACACAACACAAGAAAAAACAGGATTCTGCAAGGCTAATAGTATAGGTAGGATGCAAATCCCAAGCCAGATGGAATTTCTTTCTATTCTATCAACCTAACTCATCATCACATAACATTTTTACTACCCACTGAAAGGAGACAACTTTCATCATTTAAGCCTCCTAATACTTTTCAATCTAGGGCAGCAGTGGGAAGTCCAAAAATCCCTTGCACAGGGAGAGAAGAATGCAAAAAGCAGGCAGTGAAACTGTGGTGTTAAAATCCACACTGGAGGCAGTAAAGTACAGTATTAACACTGCAGAAAACTCAGTCCCTCCCATGGAAAGGACGGAGATTGGCAGCTCTCCCAAAATAAAACAGGAAGAATGGAGAAGAGATTACAAAAAAAAGAAGGCAAAGAAGTGAAATCTAAGCAATACTTATAGCTAATACTTAGGAAGAGAAAACCACGTTTTGATTCAAACACAAGTATTATTTTAGAATTTGATTGTAGAAAAGTTGTGTTCTATGAAAGACGTGCAATGAAGCTTGAAGTGAAATCTCTTGACAAAAAAATGAAAGTAAAGAGGGTCCGTAGATATACATCTATGTTATCCTATAATTTTTGTGTCTTCTCTGTTCACCAAGATAGCAGGAGGCCCAAGATTTATAGATGTGAGGCCCATAAACACATTTGGACTCTAGGACTCTAGGAGGTCATTACAAACAAGTAAGCCATGAGGTATTTCTTTTTAACTTAAAAGCAGGTTTCTTATCATATTAGTACATGCTATTACATAGAAAGGATGGTTGGTTCCAAACATTAGTTCAGATAGGCAACTTTTGGTATAAATGTCTCTGCGCTATTTTTGGTAATCCATACATGTGACATCTTCTCTTTCTCTTCATCCTTTTTCTTCTTAACGATCTGTTATTTTCCTCATCCTTGGTAAGATTTGAGCCAACTAACACTTCCAGACATGGCTCAGCATTGCTGGGGACACTGAGGAACAAACTAACTTTCCTATGCATCACACTGCAACAGGGTGGGGGCAGGAGACTAGAACCCGGTGACCTGCTGGGGGCTTAATGGGTCAGACAACAGAAGTAGCAGCCAGAAAGCCTCATGACTACAGGAGGGAGAGTCCAGAATCTTACTGAGGGCAAGGAATGTCATTTGGGCACAGTCCCTGACATTGGAAACCTGGACAGGAACAGGAACCCAACATCTCAGACTAGGAAACCTTGGGCAGACAAGTCAGGGAGCTGGGCTTGTTGATACAACACGAGGGAACAGCCAGGATTGGACACCATCTTAGACCACACCTATGGTCAGACACTGACAGCTGTGTGAGGATGAAAACCCAGACCTCCTTAATCCATTAAAATCAGTTTCCAAAATGTATAAACTATTCTCCTTTCCTAAGAATTTCTAATATTACTCCTAGCAATCATATTATCACTCCTGTCAATAAAATAATGCAGACCTTGAATCTGTTCCCCTTTGTGACTGGTCAACTTGGTTGTGTAATTTCCTGTTTTCTAAATCTTCCTTGGGTTGGATGTTGCATAGCATAGGAAAATCTGGATATGACCATACTTATTTCCTCCAATATAATTTTAGACAGAGGGTGACACTGGAGTCTTCATAATTATTAGTGACTTTATAGGGTACTCTATTCATTCCAGTGAGTAAGCAGAACTTGAAGATTTCAAAGCTGGATGAAAATAATAAAGATTATCCAGTTAAAATGCCGTATTTCTTTCAGATACAGAACTGAAATTGGATAGGTAAAGGGACCTGTGCAAGATTACATGGAAAACAGTGGGAAGATACAGAAACAGAACAAGTTGCTAAGTAACGGCATGAGTATTGCATCATGGGAACAAAAGCTAAGAGACAGGCTCTTCTAAAAGTTAAACAATGCCAGGCACTGGTGGCTTATGCCTGAAATCCTAGCTACTCCTAGCAGAGGTCAGGAGGATCATGGTTCGAAGCCAGCCTGGACAAATCGTTCACAAGACCTTATCTTGAAAATACCCATTACAAAAAGGGCTGATGGAGTGGCTCAATATGAAGGCCCTGAGTTCAAGCCCCAGTACCGCAAAATAAATAAGTAAATAAATAAATAAAAGTTTAACAATATAAACCACATGGAACACCAAGAAACAGTTAACCATGACCTATATTTAAAAGCTTCCTCATTAAAGCCCATACCTGCCTTGCTCTGGTTGGATTTGTACTAGGAATAAATGTTCCATATTATCAACGGCCTCATGAACAAAGTACAGTACCACTCTTCTTTCATTAAAAGGTAATTTTAAAGAGTACTGATGCACGGAGTTAAGCCTAAACTATGGGTAAATCTCCATCTTCCCAGAAAAAAAAATGACACTGAGTAGCTCACAACCTCCTTGGTCCCTGTATAGAAGTTGTCACCCAGTTTGGCATTGGACCAAGAATTGCTGTGGTTAGGAAGACTGTAGGGCATAAGATTCCTGGTTGAACAAATCTGTGTCCCAGAGCTAGACAGTAGTAGTTGGAGGGTTTTCCCCATCTCCCATTTTGACTTCATTATGAGGATGGCAAACTGTAGCAAGGAATGGAGCTGTGATGTGTGCAGGATCCATAATTACAGAAGCTTCTGGATTAGCCTTCTGGGCTGCTGTAAAAATCACCATAAACTCATTGCTTAAACAGACATTTATTTGCTCACAGTTCTGGAGGCCAGAAGGCCGAAATCAAGGTGTGACCTTTCCTTTTAAGGTTCTGGATAGACTCTGTCCCAAACCATCCTGGCTTCTGGGGGCTGCCAACAATCCCAGGTGTTCTCTGCCTTGAAGTTTCATTTGTCCAGTCTCTGCCTCTGTTGTTCCACAGCCTTCTTGTCTCAGAGTGCATCTCTGTTTCTGAATCTCTCTCTCCTTGTAAGGCTGCTATTTATTGGATTTAGGCCTATGTAATCCAGGGTGGCTTCATGTTAACTTGTTGCCATCTGCAAAGATCCAATTTCCAAATAAGGTTACATCTCCATATGGGGGTTAGGATTTCACTGTATTTTGGAGAGGACACAATTCCACCCATACCAAGTTGTATCCAAACAGCTTGCTTAGTTCTGTTTAGCTGTGCACCACTAATAAATGGCATCTTCCATCTTTTTTAGTGGACCCTCAGAGTCAAAGGAGGCAGAGCAAGCATTGTACCCATTCTCCATAGTGAGGAAACAAACTCAGAAATGCGGGCTCACTTTCTGAGAGAGCATGTACATGTTTTAAAACTTCCCATTCAATTTATACTCATGACGTCTGTTTTTCTGTCTCTTACATCCTGGCTCCAACATACAAAGTAAGGAAGATATTTTGGGATCATCCAGCTCTCATTAAGGGGACTTTTTGCCAGCATTCCAAAGCTAAGGTGGAAGTTTGTATAAACAGGACCCTGTGACCTCCTGAGATGATGACACAGAGAGGGAGTACAGGTCACAAGTCAGTTGAAACAAGCTACAGTTTTTTTTAAGTATACCTTAATTCCTAAAAGTTTGCAGTTTCTTCTTTGTTCATTTTATCTTACATCACCATTAAGATCACCCTTCATGTTAGGACATTGCTGAAATTGGTACTCTTTCCCCTTTGCTCTTAGAGTGCAGATAATAGGTCATTTCCCCTTAAATTACACTGCAGCATTTGTGCAGAAGAGATTTCAACAAGGACCATGGACACTTCCCATTGATCGGTGTTGGCTCTGCTGTGGGGTGATTTTGGCTTCACACACAAATGTCCATTTCAGTGTTGTCTGTTCAGAGGGCCCAGTCGGAAGTTGTAGGATGGCTTGGATGGAGTCTGTCACTCAAAGAGCTCCAGGTAGTCAGGTGACTCATCCTGCTGACCGCAGGGGTAGAGCAGGAGCTCCTTCCCCAAGGAAGTGATGGGTTCCTCCTGTTAATCAGAAGGTACAGGGTCAGGCTGGGCTGTGTGGGACCTGCCTCATCAGGGGATAGTGCTCCTCTTCCCTTGATTTGTACAAAGCTTTAGTGGTTTATGACAATATTAAGAGATATTTTTCTCCTCCACACCCTTGCTTTCCCTCTAGGGTCCCAGTTTTAACTTAAGACTGTTCTCAGATGTAATCAGTGTATGTCCAGCTTTGCTAGTGTCTCTGGTGTTCTCTGCCCCAATGGAGTCTCCCTGAATATCTGAGGAGGAAGTAGGTTCTGTGATAAACAAAATGCAATTAAGAATTCCAATTATCTGGAGAAATTATCAAAGACACCCCCAACATTATTTATCCCAATCATCTTTCTTGTAATTGTCTTTCTTTGTTACAGCTGCTACAGGACAATAGTTCACAGGAAATTAATTTTATGAATAGCTTCACCTTGTGATATTCCACCAAATCTGCCAGGGTAGGGTGCTGCAGCTGGTCCACACCAAGGAAGCTGTAGGAGTCTGCAGAAGCATCTATGAGGAAATGTTTGCAGCCCTCCTGTGACAGGTAGGACAGGGCATAGCCTTTCATCCTTTCACTGACTCGGATCAAAAAACTGCCTGGCACACCTGTGCTCAGAAGTTCATTTGCTTTCTTTAGGGTGAGAATTCCTGTGGGGGGAAAAAAACAGGTACTTCAGCCAAATCCTTTCTAAAACTCTCTTGTTAAATCCAGCTATGTGGGTAAAGTTTAGTAAACCACTAGAGCCATGTGGTTTTCTAAAATAAATATGTATTTTACATGTACCGGCTTCTTAGAAATACAATAAAAGAGTCTAGTATTTGGCAACTGGACAAAGATAGATTATAGAGACAAATGGATAGTATAAATGAGAGCTATGTTTAAGAGGAACTCGTTTCTACTTATAGACCCATTTATAGCAGCACAGGTTGTACATGGCTTGAGGGGTCTGGCTGGATGCCTGGATGGTGGTGCTGGGAGAATTAGGTCTAAAGGGGACTTCAAGGTGCTCTCCTCACACCACTGCCATCTACCAATGAGAACTCAATGACTTGAAGAAGGAAATAACTTGGTCTAGAACAGCTGTTCTCATCCAGAACAATGTCTGAGGGACATTTTTGGTTGTCATAGTAGTGGTGTTTCTGCCATTGGTGCATAGAGGTAAGGGGTGCTGCTCTCAGGACAACCTCACACTACAAAGAATTACCCAGCCCATAGTGTCAACAGTGCTGAAGCTGGCACTTCCTAGTGTAGGAGGTTCTGAAGTCAGTGACAGAACCAGGATGAAGCCAGGTCTAATGAGTGCCAATTACTGCATATATACTGTATAGATCCAGTGACATTTAAGGAGTAGAGCTTCATTTATTTATGTCATCATATATATGTTTATGGCTTCATATATCTTCAAAGGAATGAGCTCTTCTTATATACACGAAGTTTTATGAGACATAGTTCAAATGTCTTATGAATTCGCACTCTTACTTTCCACCAGCGTTTCCCCAGTTCATCCAAACTCATGGAGTCTGACTCAGGTTCCCGTGTTAGCCTCTTATTCATGCTATAATTCTTCAGATGAAGAGACAGGTTGTAAAGTATAGACAAAGAGCACCAACACATCAACTTGCTGAATTACCAATGGGCTCTGATTTGAGAGGGAAGAACAACGCTCTCAACCAACAGACAGAAGAACTAGACTTTTTCTATTCCACAGTTAGTTGTTCACTCTGAGATCCTTACTATTGTAAAAACAAACAAAATCCTCCTCATGAAAAGGCAATGAGTTATTGTAGCCCTTCTGATTTTTAATGAAGTTAATTAAGAAGTGAACTTTAGTCATCCAGGATACAATTTAAAATAAAAACCATTTCAGTAAATAAACCTTTAATCAGGAGAGGGATTAAAAAATTGCCTGTTCTCCCCCAGCTAAGATCAACCCACCAGCACTTGTCCCATCTGCTCTACTCTATCATCATTCAGGAGGTCTTACACTGCAGAGCCCAGCCTGAGAGATTGGGTCAATCACAGAGGTTGGAGAAAGGTTGACAGAGGCCCCACTTATAACAGAGACTTGGAACAGAGACTTGGGGTCTCTCCTCCAAGGGCCCCAGAAATCTTGCATTGACTCCCAGCAGGGTTACTGATTTGTGTCTGTCATATGCATCCTCTCCTTTCCCATGATCTACTGGAAACTGAAGGCCCTGCTGACACTGAGTGAGCCTCTTGGTTCACATGCTGCATTGTTCATTTTAGGAGCTCAAATAACAACCCAACAGACACAGGCTGCTGCTCTTGTTGGTCTTCTTTGCCTTTCTACACATAGCTGGTTCCACCAATAAATTACAAACCACAGTCCTAAGTTGAAACAAGGCAAAAGACAACAGCCTGTGCAGGACTGCACTTGACAGAGGATTGAAGACACCATATTAGATTGTCTGAGAAAGCAGGGATACTTCCCAATGACACTGAAAAACTCCCTTCAGAACTGAGAGACTTGGTCTGGTGGAGTAGCTCAACTGGTAGAGCACCTGCCTAGAAAGCATGCGGCCTTGCTTTCAATTCCTCCTACAATCAAGTCGTATTGTAAAGTGTAAATCAGACTGCCCACAAGCCTCCTAATCTCTGTAATTATTGCCCTTACACATTATTTTGGCACTGTTGAATCTCCTGAGACACCAGAGCACAATAAAATGATCTTGTGGCAAATCCCAGGTCATAAGAGAAACGCTTCATGCACCACAGTTGGAGGGCAGGCTCAAAAATGAGCGCCATGTGGACCAGGTTGTGAGTGACACAGAGGGTTTCTTTCTGCCATTTTTGCTTTAGAAGATTCTTACTCCTTTACTCATTCTCTTGGTACATAGGTTGATGCAGACAATTCATCATGAAAGCCCTGAAGGGCACCGGGTACCTTCCGGGCATCTTGGCATGACCACTGCTAAGCTGTGAGCTGTGAGTTCTTGAGTGTAAAGCCAAACTCCAATGTCAGGTATTGATTGCTGTGGAAGCAGGCACACTTCTTAAAAGGTTTATCATTCTGATTTGCCCTCTGCATGACTTCTGAAGTGGTGGTCTTCCCCCCACCCCCTCAAGGCCATGACTCTTCAGTGCTGCCTCCCTCTGACCAGCTCTTCTCACACATAGTAAAAGAACCATACCATTGTGATATCAAAGAGCCATTCCTGTGCTTATAGAAGGGGAATATGAGAGATTTCCTTTATTTCATAAGTTTAGTAAACCAGAATCACCCAGGTCTGTCTATTTTAGAGCTTCTGCAAGCAGACTGTAGCAGAACAGACTGTGGCCAATGTCACTGCCCAAGGTCTCACAGATAGCACCTGGCTCTGAAGAACCTGGGGCAGAGCTACAGCCGAGACTCCTAGGAGTCTGAACACCTGGCACAGAGGTTCACACAGCTGGAGTTGAGGGCGAGCAGAGACACGCCCAACTCTCTCTTCCCTCTGCATGATGCCAGGCCTTTCTCTAGAACAGTACTATGTGACAGAACTTCCTATGATGATGGAAATGTCCTCTGTGGTGGCCATGTGGTAGCCACTAGCCACAGTGACTATTGGCACCTGAACTGGGACTAGTATGACTGAGGGATTCAACTTTTGACACTATTTAGTTTTCATTAACATTGATGTGAAGAGCCATGTGTGGTTAGTGACTACTGCCCTAGACTGTGCAGCTCTAGAACTCTGAAGGTTTGGCCAGGACAGGCCCAGGAGAACTGCTCTTTGCACACAAGCAAGCCACAGACCCCAAGAGATGTGAAGCAACTCAGAAACTATAGCAGGCCTGGTGGGAAATCCAAGGGGCAGTTATTGTGCTGCAGGAAGAGGGTAGTCCAGAGGATTGCCTCCTTCCCCAGCACAGCGCCTCCTAGAAAACTCCTACCCATTCTTCAAGACTCAACTCAACGCAGGAAGTGTTGGGATTCCTCCCTAAGCAGTTAGACTGCTTCCTATGGGCCTGCCGAGTGCCTGCTCTCACCACCTTTGTGCACTTGCCTGGCACTCAGCTCTGTAGGTGCACTTCAGTAGGCTCTGCTGGGGCCATCTTCCCTCAGCTGCTTCCTTATTGGTGCCTGGAGGGCAGCTCCCACCTTCACTTACTTTATAGAACTAGCCCACTGACAGACTCCCAGAAAAGACCTAATGCATGCTTCTGTTTCACAATCAAGTCAGAGACTTCTTTATAGCACTTCTGTGCACCCATGCTCTAGACTGAGAATTGTTTGATAGGGACAAGAGATGCATGCTGTCTTTTCTGAAGTACTACCACGTGTACCTCTGCACAGCCTACTTCCTGCAGCTGAAAATATGTGTTTAAACATCAAGTGAAATAGAACTGAGTAATAACTCAGACTGTGCATTACTTTTAATTCTCACAGCAACTCCACAATGACCTAATGTTATTACCTTTAAGACAGCTTCAAACCTGTGTCACAGAGAGCTTCATAGGGTCAATTATGTAGGTCAGGAAAAGGGCTGGGACTGAACCCCAGTGGTCTGAGCCTGGGTGCCCTGCACCAGCATGGCATACTTCCATTTGTATGTTATTTTTCACTTAATCCTCAAACTACTATAAAATAGAACTGATATTATTAGCACCCCCATTTTTTAGATGAGCACAGAGGTAGAAAAGGTTATAGGATTAATGATGGTCCCAGTTTCTTGGCTCCTACTAGAGTGCTTTGTGTTTCAACCCACTGGGCTCATGATATTTTTCTGGAATAGGTTGCAAAGTAAAAGAAGATGCATTTGTCAGTGATATTTAAGAGGTGTCTGGCTGGATGTGGGGACAATGCCTTGGTGCCCTTGCCCACTCTCTTAAGCTAAGAATTCATGTTCTGAGAACTGAAAGGCCCCAGGCACTTCAGGTGGCCACATCTCCTCAACTGTCCTTGGGGCCACCACAGAGCTGCCAGTACCACAGGCTTCCCTTAAAGGATGCTCTTCCCTGTCACCTCCCCTTCTTTCTTTGTTATCTGTGTCACATTCCTTGCCTCTGGGCTGCCTCCAGAATATGCTGAGAGGGGGGGATGTATGAAGGCATCATTCACAAAGGGACCCCAAAGTGCCACACTGCAATCTGAGGGGAAATTGGGGTGGATAAAAGAATGACTTCTAGAAGACCTGATTCCAAGAGTCCACCCGGCCAGACTCAGAGTGCACCCTGGGAGTCTTATACTTGGAAGAGTCTGCAACTTTGTGCACTCACTCCATGTACTGATGCTTCCTTTAATGCTTTCTGCATTTAAGGGCTGCCGTAGGTCCTATCTAGAAGGAGATGTACCATGTTGGCAAGCTCTCGCTCTTGAGGTCTTAGATCTTGATCTCCGCAAGGATGAGGACAATGGCCAGAGTTCTTAAAATATTATCTAAAATGTTTCCTTAACAACTGAAGAGTTAGAATTATTAGCATCATTTCTTCTCACCTTACTACCTTAATGGCTGACACTTAGTACCTAGGGCTTCCTGTGCATCACACATAGTTCTGAGTGCTTTATATCTTGCTAACTCATTTAATCCTGTCATTATCTGAAGACAATCTATATAGTCATTATCACTATACAGATGAGAGACAAAAGTCAGGTGACTTGCCCAAAGTCACATGGCTAGCTGGTGGGAGACCTGGATGTGAGGCC